GCCGCCCGCGAACGCATGGACCCCTTTCCGCCGCCACCCCAGAGGGCGAACAGGGTTTTGCTCTGCCGCCATCGGCCCCCCGCGAGGGGGCGAAGACGCCCGCGCGCGAATGCGCGGGCCAGAGGAGGAGGAGGAGGAGGAGGAGGAGGAGGAGGAGGAGGAGGAGGAAGAGGAGGAGGAGGAGGAGGAGGAGACCCCTTGCCCGACCATGGCTTCTCTGGCTACGCGAACGGGCGCGAAGGGGCGCCTGCCCCGGCCGAGGCACCCTCGACACCCACGGCGCGCAGTCGTCGAGCCGCCAGCAGCTCGACGATGCAGTCGCCGAGAGTGCCCGGGGCCGGCGCGGGCGAGCACGCCGCCCTGAGTCTCGCGGCAGGCAGCGCCTCGGCACTGGCAGGGAGCCCCCATTGCTTGCGGCGCTCTGCGCCATCGGCTGCAGACATTTGCCCGAGCTGCCGCGGGGCCAACTCTCCACGAGGACGCCTCTTCGGGGGCAGCTGGCAGTCACTCCGCGGGCCTGCCCGCGCGCGGGGCCCCGACGTCGCCAGCGGCGCGCCCCCTGCCAGCGGCGACAGAGGCCTTCTGATGCTCGAACGCGCGCGCGCACCACTGACCCCCCCCCCGTCCAACTCGCACCTCGGAGAAGCCCGTCCATCGGCAGACGTCGAACGCGCCGAGAGGCTGTCCTGGATGATGTGTAGTGCTCGGACGGAGTCTTGCGCCACGCCGCGTGAGCCGCCGACGCAATCGGCTGACTCCGCGGACTTGGCCGCGGCCGGCCGCGCAGTGGTACCAACTCCCTTTGGGCGGAGCATGGCTACTCGTGACCTCCGACTTCTCGACAAGTCGCAGCGCGCGTGCTCGCTGGGGATACCGCCCACTTGCCCCTCAATGGCAGCCCCTCATCGCAGCCCAGCTGCGACAATATCTGAGGGGCAACACCCATGTAGTCCGGAGCAGACAACGTCGGGCAAGCAGACGGATTGAACGGGCGAGTGTCTCCACAGTCCGTCTTCAGTGCTGAGCCGCCCACCGATATCCTGTTGACAAGGCGACGGGTCCTGGGCCGATTGGCCCGCGGCGGAGGCGGCGCCACTGGCGGAGGCGGCACGAGGCCGGCGCTCCCAGACGCCGAACCCCTTATCCCTCGCACCAGGAGGAGCCCACACGAGTGAGACAAGGCCTAGAAGGGCGCTCTGGAAGGCTCTACAAGGGCCACGGCTTCACGCCGTATGTTGTACTGATGCCTCACAATCGCCTTCTCGCTGTCGAGGGGGCTGAGATCGGGGGTCGAACGCGCGGTATTGTACACATGGTAAGCACGAACAATCCTCTCGACGATCTCAGGAACGGGATGACCGTCGAGCCCGAGACGCGAGGCTGGACAAGCAGGAGGCACCTCGAAGTAAAATACAAGCCTACACAAAACTGGGCACATGAAATAATGCGGAAAATCGCCCCGACAGGTAGCGAGACGAAAACAACAGATTCCAATCTCGGGCGCGCGCAGTCTGGCGCTGGCCAAACCAACCTCCTACTACTCTTGAGAACTGCGCTCTGCCAAGCTGGTGGGCCGCCATTCCGAACGAGGACTCTGAAGGCTACCTAGGACTGCTCTGAAAAAAAGCCCCCAGGAGGTCATCCGTTTGGCAAAATGTGCACTGGGGGATATCCGGATAGAGGAGGTCCGAAGAGAGGAGGAGAGGACCCTTCGCACGCGCACCCGCCCATGCCCCGAGGGTTCAGCGAGGGCGGCGAGCGCGATCCGAGCGACAGAGGCGCGAGCCTTCAGTGGGAACGCGGCCTCCGAGGCCTCAGCAATGTCGAGCACCAGTGGACCCTTGCCGATATCCGCCAGGCTGCCGCGCTCGAAGGTGTCGGCGCGCGGCTGGTCCAGGAGGCCGCTCCAGTTCCGCGCTGCGCCGATGGCCGCCCGCATGCGCGTGGCCAGGCTGAGGGTGATCATGCTCGCAGGCCGCAGCTAACCAGCCTCGAACGTATCAATATTCCCAAGATTAACAAGCCAAAAGTCGACTACAATCTTAGGGATGCACCCTGAGAAACGGACGGGATCCCTAAGATCGGCATCGAGATGAGGCGATGCCAATCATAGGGATAGGGATATGTTCCATGCTGGTGAGCAGCGCCGACCAACTTCCAACTCCGAGGAGGCCATCCCGCGAGACCGACTGAGGCGGCCCGAGCTCTCGCCAAGCCCAGGCGCGGGGGGCAGCGGCAGCAGCTGCGTGATGCAGCCCAGCACCAAGAGCACCCTCGCGTTACAGAGCACCGTCGTCACGTACACGGGTGCTCCGACTCGTGCCAGCTCGCGTGCGCGATGCATCCACTTCGCGCCCTGCTTCTGCCACGCGTCGTCCAGCGTGGCGCTGGGCCCGAGGATGAACCCCAGGTACTCCGCGAAGGGGGCCATCTGCTCCCAGCCTGGCAGCGCCTGCGCGAGCCACGCGGTCGCGCTGGTGGCGAGCTCCTGCGAGAAGCCCGCGCTGAGCGGCACCACCTTGCATTTGGCGAGCTGCGGTGCGAGGCCCTCTAGCGCCTCTGCCGCCGCGGAGACCCTCCGAAGGCTGAAGAGAAGGCGGCGGCCCTGCAGCAAGGCGCCGACGTCGCCCGCGCAGACGCCCAGCGCGGAGGCGGCTAAATCGGACAGATTGCTGTTCTCTGGAAACTCATGCCTAAGCAAGTCGTGGATCACCTCCGGAAGCCCGTGCCCAAGTAACTTGTTGCTCTTCTCCGCAAACCCACGTCCAAATAACGTGTTGCTCTTCCCCGAACCCCCATGCCCAAATTCGCCGGCCCAACGGGCCAGAGGCGTGCTAAGATCTCCGGTAACTGGTTAACAATTGTATTGTACTAGTTCGCGCGCGCGGGGCGGCCCCTGGGGGTCCCCCGGCGAAAAGTACCCCGCCCGCCGCCTGGCAAGGTCCCGCCCGGTTCAACTCAGAGATGGTTTTCCTTCTGGGTGCGGCCTCTCAGGCCGCCCTGAGCGCGCCAAGAGTGCCCCAAGAGGCCCCCAAGACTGCCCAAGAGGCCCCCGAGACGCCCAAAGAGCGCTCGAAGACGCCGAAGATGACCCCAAGACGGCCCAAAAGGCCCCCAAGACAGCCCAAGAGGCCTCCAAGACGCCCCAAGAGCCTTCCAAGAGGCCTCCGAAGAGAGCCCCAAGAGGCCAAAATCGTTGATTTTCATTGGTTTTTTCGATGTTTTTTGTGTTCTGGCTTTTTCGGCTTCCGGACGCTCCAAGACGGCCCAAGAGGCCCCCAAGACCGCTCCAAGACGGCCCACGAGGCTCCCAAGACGGCCCCGGAACGGCCCAGGAGGGCCCCCAAGACGGCCCAAGTGCCGCCCAAGACGGACCAAGAGGCCCCAAGACGGGCCCAAGAGGGGCTCAAGAGGGGAACCGAGAACTGAAAAATCGAGCCCTCCGCCCCAGAAGGCGCCCAGGAGGCCCCAAAAAGGCCCCAAGAGGCCCCCAAGAGGCCCCCAAGACGCCCCAAGAGGCGCCCAAGAGGCCCAAAAGAGGCCCCAAGAGGCCCCAAAACGGCCCCCAAAACTCGGCTAGCCCACAACGGTGCGACAATATGGGCCGGCGGAATGAGCGAAGCGATTAATAAATAACTTGGTGCCACAGGGGAGATCTCCTCCATGCGGGCCACGACGGGGTCCATGGCCACGGCCCACAGCGAGCCCGACCGAGGGCAGCCCTGCGCGATGCCTGCCGAGACCATCATGAAGCGCTGCAGCGCGCCCTCGAGGGAGACGAAGGCATGCGGCACCCAGTGCATGCCCATCATCGGCAGGAAGAGGCCGCCCAGGCACTCCGCCCGCAGAAGAACCGCCCTCAGAGAGGACACCGCCAGGGACGGGAAAGCGCTGCCGAAGACGAAGAGGACCATGAGCAACAGGCGCTGGTCCCTGGCGGATGAAAGGCCGACCCGACGCGCGGTGCTATCGAGAAGGGTGACGTTGTCGAGGTAGTTGCGCCCTGGTAAGATACCCCTCTGGGATTTGGGGGAGTGGCGCTCGATGATGTATTTGCCTCGATGGTTGACGATTTGCCTCGATGGTCGACGTCGCCGCCAAGAGCTCCGCGTCAATGTTCTTGAGGGCGAGGGGACGCGCGGTGGCAGGCGTGCGCGTAGGGCCCGAGGAGAGATCAGCATCCTCGGCCCCTTCTCTGCAGAAAGGCCATCGAATGGCCGTTGAGATGCGACGGCGGCGGGAAGCCCTGCGCGCTCTCGACGCCGACCCTCGCGGGGCCCTCCACGAGGGCGAGGACAGCCGCGGCGACTCCAGGCGTCGCGGGGCAGACCGTCGGGGCCTGGAGCTGGATCGCGAGCTCGCTGCGCAGACCGCTCGAGGTCGCGACTGCCAGGGAGGCGAGCGCCCCCAGGCCCGCGAGAACCACAGGATGAGCATCCAGACATCGGCCCGCAAGAGGAGGCTCGGAGGGGTCTCGCTGAAAGGTTGACACGGGTGTTTCTTCAATTCCTCTCGAGCACGTCAGCCTGGGAGTTTACGATCTGCTCAGCGCCATCCCGCTTGAAGCCTCGTATATACGTATATATGCGCTCAGTGGAAGGAAATTCCATGGGTCACCTCTGGGGGGGGGGGGGGGGGCAGGGCCACTTTTGCGGCCCCTTCCTACAGCGGCTGGGGGGTCATCTTCGGGGACGCTGGCAGGCGGTGGATTTAGATATATTTGGCCCCCACAGGGCCCGAAAACATCCATATCCACCCTCTGCCGAGGTCCCCGAAGATCGATCTCCCAGGCGGTGGGTATGGATGAATCTTCGCCTTGGGAGGGTCAAGACAGCATGCACGTACCGCCAGCAACTTGCCAAGGGTCGAGGAGGAGGAGGAAGGAGGAGGAGGAAGAGGAGGAGGAGGAGGAGGAGGAGAAGGAGGAGCAGGAGGGGGGGAGGAGGAGGACAAGGCTCCTCCTCATCCTCCTCCTCCTCGGCACTCGCTCCCACAGCGGCCTTGTAGGCTGGCTCGACGCCGGCGTGAGTGACCTCCCACACCCGGCCACCCGCTTCCCGCCGCCGTCGCCACCGCCATCGTCATCAGCCTTGGAGAGGAAAAACTGGCCGGTGACCACATGTGAACCCCTACCCCCACCCCTCACGATTTCTAGCTCGGGAGCTCAAGAAAGAGTGAGGCCCCTCCCCCCTTTAGAAATCGTGGGGGGTGGGGGTAGGGTTCACATGTGGTCACCGAGCCCAGAGGGCGGGCTGGAAGGGTTCCCTCCACAGCAGCACACTTAGTGCGGGCGCGTGCCGTTCACGCCACGAGCCAAGTGGGCAAAGAGATCGCGACGCCGACCCGCAACCCCCAACCGAGAGGGGTGGAGGCCGATGCTGCACTGTGCAACGCTGTGCACCGCCCAGGCTTGAAGAGGGGAGGGTGCCAAGGTTTGCACTTGACTCGAGTCATCATCATCATCATCATCATCATCATCATCATCATCATCATCATCATCATCATCATCATCATCATCATCATCGTCATCATCATCATCATCAGCATCGTCATCGTCGCCATCAGCATCAACAACATCAGCAGCAGCATCATCATGAGCACCATCATCATGAGGGCTATCATCATCAGGGCTATCATCATCAGCATCATCATTAGCATCATCCTTACCAGCATCATCATCATCATCATCATCATCATCATCATCAGCAGCAGCAGCAGCATCATCAGCATCATCATAATCAGCAGCAGCATCGTAATCAACATCATCATCATCATCATCATCATCATCATCATCAGTTTCATAATCATCACCAGCATCATAATCGTCAACGTCATCATCACCAGCATCATCAATATCAGCAGCAGCATTATCAGCATCATCATCAACAGCATCCTCATCAGCACTATCATCATCAGCATCATCCTCACCAGCATCAGCATCAGCATAATCAACATCATCATCAGCAGCATCATCAGTGTCGTCATCATTATCAGCATCATCATCGTCATCATCATAATCAGCAGCATCATAATCAACGTCATCATCAGCATTATCAATTTCATCATCACCAACATCATCACCAGCATCATCATCGTCAACCTCATCATCATTTTCGTCATCATTATCAGCATCATCAGCATCATCATCATCATCATCATCATCAATATCAGCAGCAGCATTGCCAGCATCATCATCAACAGCATCCTCATCAGCGCAGCGCTATCATCATCAGCATCATCCTCAACAGCATCATCATCAGCATCATCATCAACATTATCATCATCAGCATCATCATCAGCATCATCGTCATCATCATCTTCATCATCATTGTCGTCATCATCATCATCAGCATCACCAGCATCATCATCATATTCATTATCGTCCTAATCCTCATCCTCCTAATCCTCCTCATCCTCCTCATCCTCCTAATCCTCCTCATAATCCTTATTTTCATCCTCATCCTCATCCTCATCCTTTTTCCGAGTCCTCACCCTCATCCTCCTCCAACCCCGCGAAATTGCTCCCCTGCTCCTCCTCCTTCTCCTCCTCCTCCTCCTCCGAATGCTACTCTCCATGCTCCTCACCTCTCCACAACGACACACTATTGACACTGTCTGCGCTCTCCCCATGACTCTGTCCAGAAGTTGTCCTGCCCTCCCCGCAGATTGTTTTCCACACATCGGATTTCAAAAGTTTGAATTTCTTAATATGTTTCCAATCCGAACGTCTCTGGTCCTTCAACATGGTATTCCCGCTGCAACGCTGGCCTCATTTCTGCGCTTCCGGACCTTCGATATCGTGCTCCAGTTCTAGCGTTGGTCTCGTTTCCGCGTGTTCGGTCATTCCGAATGGCGCTCCCGCTGCAGCGTTGGCCTCATTTCCGCGTTTTCGGTTCTTCAAAATGTGGCTCCCACTGCAGCATCAGCCTCACCACCAAATTGTCGGTCCTCCAGCATGGCATTCCGGCTGCACCGTTCGTGCAACCAGAGTGATCAATGCTACGCTAGATCTATGTATACATATGTGTGTGTACTGTTCTTACGCGTGCGATTGCATGCCTTGCTCTGAAATGCTGTGATATGCAACGCTAGTCTACGCAGTCCCATGCCATGCTATAGTATCCCGTGTCATGGCATGCAATTCAATGCTATGTTGAGTACCCTTTGCGATGCAATGGCCTTGCGCTGCAATGCTATGATGTGCAATGATTGACCACGCAATGCGAAGCCATGCTTTGCCATGCGGCACTCTGCAGTATACTCTCTCACGCCATGGCACGCGATGCTTTGCATCACACGCCCCTTGGGGATCGCTGCCCTCTTGGCACTCCACGTCCGACTGCGCGAACAGCAAGAGGATCTATGCAACGGGAGGGCACGGAAGGAAGGGGGCAAGGACACCGAGTGTGGCGCGAGCGCGCCCCGCTTCTCACATCCCTTCTGCCATCTCCCCATTCCCTTCCCTCCCCCTCCCCTTCCAGAGGAAGAAAAAACGACATAAACATCAGCTTTTCGCTCTCCGCGCGGACTTCTTGGATCTGCGCCAGGGGCGGCTCCGGAGGCGCCGCAGGGAAGGGGCCCAGCGCGGATCCAAAGAAATCCGCGCGGAGCGCCACAAGTTTATGCTTGTCGTTTTTTCTTCTTCGACCTTCCCCAGAGCCACCCCACCACCCCTCCTGAGCTACGACGTCGCGATTGCCCGTTCTCGTTGACGGGGGGCTGGCCCTCCCCCCGCCCCTGCGCCCAGACCTGCTGCACTCGCCGTGCCGCCGCCTGCGCTCGCCACGGCGCCTCGCCCATGCCCGGCGACCGCCTGCGGCAGCGAGCCCGAGGAGCTGCAGCCCGAGAGATCGATGCCCGAGCACGCATCCGCGCCTGGCCTGAGGCATCCGGACGGCTTCGAGGTCCCTTCCCTCGGTTTCGGCCAGGTGCGCGGCGCACATGGCTGGACGATCGCGCTCCACTGCTCGCAGAGTAGCTGCTCGCAAGTGGCCTGGCTCCGCCGAGCAGGATTCACGACCCATCACATCGAGGCAGACCATGTTTTTTTGTTCAGGACGTCTGCGAGTAGACACTTCGCGAGTAGTGAAACGCGCCAGGTGAGAGAAAGTCCCTTCCCTCGGCTTCGGCCAGGTGTGCGGCGCACGTAGCTGCTGACCTGTTGACACCCCGGGCGCAGTGTACCAAGCAGCGTCCGCGGGCCTTCCTAGCGGCTTCCAGCGCAGGGCGAACACTTCACGCGTCACGCGTCAAGTGTTTGTCGTATGCCTCGATGCCGGTGCAGTGCAGTGCGGTCCACCCGGGCCCCTCGGCGCACCAGGGCTCGCAACCATATGGACGACGTGCGTGTGCGTGTGCGTGTGCGTGTGCGTGTGCGTGTGCGTGTGCGTTTGCGTGTGCGTGTGCGTGTGCGTGTGCGTGTGCATGTGAGTGCGTGTGCGTGTGCGTGTGCGTGTGCGTGTACGTGTGCGTGTGCGTGTGCGTGTGCGTGTGCGTGTGCGTGTGCGTGTGCGTGTACGTGTGCGTGTGCGTGTGCGTGTGCGTGTGCGTGTGCGTGTGCGTGTGCGTGTGCGTGTGCGTGTGCGTGTGCGTGTGCGTGTGCGTGTGCGTGTGCGTGTGCGTGTGCGTGTGCGTGCGCGTGCGCGTGTGCGTGTGCGTGTGCTTGTGCGTGTGCGTGTGCGTGTGCGTGTGCGTGTGCGTGTGCGTGTGCGTGTGCGTGTGCGTGTGCGTGT